CTGCTACTACTGCTCCAGAAGAAGTGCTAATGAACATAATGGGCATGAACAACATTGCCACATTATCATCAGCAGCAGTTCCTGTGCTAAAACAAATTTGATTTGCCATTCATCATCCACTAACACACAGCACCGGACAATCAACATCCATATTGGACAATGGCCACCCTTCAACAACACAACAGCAGCAACAGCAGGGGTCAAGCAAGCAAGCAGCAGAAGCAGCAGCAGCAGCAGTGAGGCCTAGATGTAATTGATCTGGTGAAAGCAGCAATACACAGAGACGTATCACTGCTGCTTACATTACATTTTATAACATGCATTGACTTCACTTTATTGGCCGAGAGTGGACAAGAAATTTGATTCAATGCAAATTTACACCTCTAGACACATGACACTCTCTTACCATATACACTTCCTTCCAACCCCCATTTTACTTCATTTATTATTATGTCACTGCATTTTGCCAGCAGTAATGCTACTCTTTCCAACATTTACTTATACGAAGAAATTGTTGGAAAATATGAAATTTTCACATATAATGCATGTATAAAATAAACATTGTTTTTATAATATATCAAGAATACTAAAATTTCTTGGAAAATTGCAGTGAATGTCCCATGTTAGTGATGTTATTGAAATGATACCACGTAAGCAACAAATGCCAGCTATTCCATACTCTGAGCTGCATTTCAGTTATTACCCACTGCCTGTTTAATGTATGTATGTCACTTTTGCAGTGTATAATATATATGTATAATGTAAAAGGCAATTTTCCGATATATTTTCCTGTGATATCATATTATATGCGTTAAAATCAATTAAAAGCATCAAAAAAAGCCGCCCTATAGGCTGTTGGTTCTCGAAAATTTCACTAAGCATCATCGATGTCCTCAAAGTGTCAAATCGAAAGAAATGGGTCGACCACTCTAACGACTTTTGAAAAAGTGGTACACACAAACATTAATAATAAGTAGCAACGCGCACCAGACTAGCCGGCGCGATCATACGTTTTGTGCAATTCAGCCCATCGAACGATTGCTTATTAATGATTTTCACTGCTTTGTACTTTAGTCTATGCAAAAATCTCAAACATTGGAAAACAGTTAAAAGTTTCAGGCACCAGCGTATGAAAGCTGAATTCGAAACCTTGAAGGGTGAACATCTTTATCCCGAGTTACTGCCAAACTCTTGCTACTGCTTCTTTCGAGATAAACAAACATGCAGGAAATCCCTTCAGGAAATGAACTGTACATTAGTAGCCGTTAGTAATGATAACTGCCAGACGATGCAGCATCGATGAAATTAACTACGGAAGTAGAAAAGCTTTCAGCTGAACCATGAACCCTGAACCATCACTGATGTCCTCAAAGTATCGAAACGGAAGAAACAACCACTACCACTACCGCTACAGGCGCCTCTGAGATGCCTTGATGTTGAAATGCTTCCAGCTGCTAGCCCCTCAAGTATCTGTTTTCCGAAAACACTACGGTCATTTCCTCACCAGCCGGGAAGCCTTCATACTACCGCTCATCGCTGTCTTTAAACTTTTCCATACCTTTGTTGGTCGGTTCCTCGACCACGTCGCTCATCGTTAGCACAGTAGCAATCACTGTGCATGCTGTAGGCATTCTTGCCGCTAGCTGCTCCGCACATTTCATCGGTTGGCGTGCCTGACCAATCCGAAAACGTCCATTTTCTCCCGAAATATGTGAGTGAATCCAGCGTAACGCTCCACGTGCCAATGGTTTTTCTTTTTTTATATGGTCCAAACGGCGCAGTGTGCCTTCGGCTACCACCACTATCAGGTCCGTTTTTTTCAGGATTGTTTTAATAATATTCAAT